ACACAGTTAAATAAAAAATAAAGCCCGCACCAAAAAATTGATAATTCACACATTATTCGCACCAACATGTCAGTGGCCTGTTTGGGCAGGAAGTCCGTCATAGTCAACGTACTCATCATCCACGTCACTATCAGTGAAGGACGATACATCTAAATCCAAAACAGGTGATAAAGGCAAGGGGTGTCCATCCGAAGTAAGAAGATCGTCGAAGGACATTTGAGGAATAGAATAGCGCAACATTGTAAGTTTAATGAATTAAATACAAAATGGTTTTAATGAAAACGAAAACATTATCTGATGCAAAATTTCACACAGAATTAATAATAGTTCCTGAGAGACAAACCATGATCGATATGGTTAGAAGATGAGCCAGGCAGTGACCCTGAATCCGGGGAATGATGAGCAACAACGGATGTTGAACACATGGAATGATGGCGGTGGTGTTTGAAAGGGGACATGATAACCTCATCATCCAAAGCGCCTATACATTTTTTTTAAAATAATTAGATAAATAACAAAAATTGTAAATGTGCATCAAATAAACTAACGGTCACACAACAAATAATTAACATAAATCCATAAATAGATTTTCTAATATAACAAAAAAGAATAATATATTGACCACGATTTTCTGATAGTATATATAATCAAATAATTATGAATAAATTGCTATTAAATTTCTATTAATGTAAAATTTCAAAATTTCAACCTTTTTAATTTTTAATAGAATGTTCTAATGGGACGGAGGGAGTATATTTTAGCCAAAACCCAAACAACCCACATTAGTTAAAATCCCAAAGGATCAGGCCCAAAACAATTCCGCATCATACTTGCAGCCAAAACACATCCATCAGCCGAAGCCCAATAACCCAAGACCCAACATATATTACACCTGATTAACATGCCATCCCACCCAACCCTGAAATAACGCTGACACTCGCAGTCCCCCCCCCCCCCTCTAACGAACTACGCAACTCAGAAAACACCCTCAAGGTATATCGCAGATCCGATCAGAAGTAATAAAAATGGCTCCAGACACTAGAGAAAAATGACCATAACATGCTCCTGAGCCCATATCCAAACCATACAGCACTTCTCAAAAGGCACAGAAGCCAATACAGCAAGCGATCACAAATCTCAAGGACATGGACAGATCCAGAGCAACGCGGCGAGGACGCCGGACGTCACCAGCCTTCACCGAGGGAGATGGAACAACGATCTTCGTAACAGGCTGAAGAGGTAAACTAACTAACTCAAATATCACAAAACCACAAAACCCAACCCCAACCTCTGCATGCACATAGACAACACGAATCCATCAACGATTTGGCGCTTTTTTAAAAAAACATCAACATAATTATCATATATTTTTTCCCCAAAAAATAAAAAAAAAACTTCAAATCCGATCCAGGTTTTCATTCAACGGAGAAACACTACTCAAAGACTGAAAGATTGTATATGAACAACTTTCTATTTTGAAATAAAAAATTCGGAAAATATATTGTCCGAAATCTATCAACAATAAAAATCACAGATCTGATAAATCGGAATGTGTTTGTCTTTTGCATCTACGGTTTAAACAAAAACCCAGATATCCCCCCCCGTTATATTTTTTAAAACAATTTTTCAAACAATATTACCAAACTGAGCGATTTAATTTATCAGAATGCATTTTCAGATCCATTTATGCATGTATAACGCAATTTGTTTTTTTACAACAATTTGTGATAAGATATTATAATTTTAGTAATTATAATTTTAGTAATAACATGAAACACATTTTACTATATTGAAATGTATATATTTTCTTATGTCGGTATTTTATTTGTATTTTAAAAAAAATAAAAGTCGGGTGAATTTTCAGGATTTTTACATCATAGCCCAAAGTCATTAGAAGAATCCGGAAATGTCCAGGATATTTTTAAAAATTACTTGCAATTTTTTTTCTGATTAATAAATAATACCAACACAAATTTCTTGAAAGAAGAATCTAGAAACAGTGATAAGGTATAGACAAAATAATGTAGTCTTCTACGTAATTTCAGACATGGACCCACCCACGTTCCATTTTCAAAATACAAAACACCCACCACGTCATTTAATTCCAACTACTCCCCACCCAACGTCATTTATTATTCTCGAAACACCCAACCACTACCCACCTTTTCAGACTTTAGCACATCGAGCCTCCCACCAGCCCACTTAAATGTACAGATAAAAATCCATCGGTCAAAATTATTACCTTTCAATTAAAAAAGACACACAAATAATTATTTGAAAACCCAACCAACAGCAGTAATGACAAACCAAGCTCCAACCCACCAGCATAAATGACAAATACAGCTGCCACCTACAACCATATATGAATATAAACATAGGCCTTCAACGAAATCAAACTTCCACCGCCCGGAACATCATCCTTACCATTACAAAGAAACATAAATCCCAAAGACAATACACACACCTAATACCACAACTAATTCTATACTATACCTCGTATCCGAACACTTAAAAGGAACTAAGTTCATATTTTTCATTTAAACTGCATGACGACAATAGGCGAAGGGCATAAAAAACAGGGGCGCTGAAGGTGGGAGCACAGAAGGTGAACACACAGAACACAGGTAAAAACGATCCCCTTATTAATATTGTTTGTTATTTGTTCTCCCCTCATTCTGCCCGGCTTAGCTAACAAAATTGTACACTGTACATCCATCACTACACCAAAGACGAACTAAATTTGGATGGAGAAAGCATGACCAACACAAAGGACATGAAAGACATTCTTCTACTTATGTAAATCATCTATGATTATTCATTATAAGTTTTTATTTTCTAATTAGCATCTAACTCAATGAATAAGCAAATAATTTATCTGTCTGCGTAGGAGAATGATATACCATACCCAAAGTGAAAGCTGAGAGGTAACAAAGCACATTCCTATTATTTAATATGATTCTATAGAATATAAGAACCACAAATTATATACTAACACCCTTCCTTTCATTCTTGCAATTCAATGAGAGGAAATCAATTCACTGGAGAACACAAAGACTGCCGGTAAGCTAGACGGGACCAGCTTGTATGAAGTAAAGGTAATAACCTAATTGTAAATGAATTGTGATGTATAATGTTTTTCAAAAAATTATTTTTTGAATTTAACCGAACACCCTATCTTTGAAATTTATTTTTACACTATGATATTTGCTCCAAATGAAACACAAATATTTTTATTCAGACACATAACCGAATATCACATACACAGTCAAAATTTGAAATTTGATGATAGTATGTTTCTAAGGTGACTAACATAAATAATTTAGTTGGATCTTGCAAAGAATTTACCTCGGTTGGATCTTTTGGATCCCAACACACATGATTTAGTTATCTTAACCATAACCTAAGTCCTCAACCCAGCATCATTTACCTAATAATAGTGGCGTTAGTATGTGAAGATAAATATTTCTGATTAACTTAAAACCAAACGATACAACATAAAATATTGCATTACATCATAGGTGCACATTATGGTAGTTAAGATCATAGTTGCACATTAGAGAGGAGAAAGGATTTACCTAAAAAGACATTTACCCACTAATGTCTTTTGTTAAAAGTTGGAATAAATACATCATAGGTGCACACTAGAGGAGCTAAGATCACTCAGAGCATAGGTGCACAATACCCAATAACTACATTACAACATCATTAAACTCTACTGAGCCAACCGAAATCATATTCAACAACAAAATCCCCCACAAAATACAATCGGTTGAGCAGGATAGGGCGTGTAGAACGCCTCAGAACAACCTCTTCCCTCTACACAGTGGAGTTAACCTCAGAGGTCTCCCCAGAGAACTCCCCAAAGGTCTCCCCAGAGGTCTCCCCAGAGGTCTCCCCAACATCTCTGATGTACCATCGGAGGTCATGCCATCCATAGAAGCGTGACAGAAGTTTTTGAGGCAACTGATCCCAAGGGATACCTCTACGCAGAAACTCAAGGCCATAAAAGGCATCACATTCAAAACACCACCAGATTTTACATGAACCTCCAAGCGCGTACATGTTGCAACAAAGGTGAATCTTACCACAGATTTCACAATCCATGATCATGGCACCGGAATGAGCAAATACACCTAAAAGACATAAACAATCCCTAGTTCCAACACGCCTGAAATGTTTATATATACTATCACAAAAATACTTGAAGTAGATTCAGAATATAACACTTCACTCAAAGAAGAAAGCAAATCAATTTTTCCTTTTTTTTCACAATACAGATTATTTTGAACTAAATTGACTTATCAGAAAAATAAAAATTTAGTTCATATATGTAATGAGATATTACTTTCAAATACATATTACTTGTAAGTGTATTTAAAAATTTTCAAGAAAAATTAGTTGAGGTTTGGGTTGTGACCCTTGTTTCCACAATTTGATGCATGATTTTACTGAGTTGGAGTTGGAGTTGGACTCACCGAAGAAACAGGACAGTGAAGAAGTGAAGCCAATTACTTTGACAGAGGAAGAGATAGATGTTTTCACAATAGTAAATGTTTTTCATACAGTTGTATTTATTATAGGTTAAAACGTAGTGGAATGGTATGACATTACCAAAAATTTAACCTAAAAACAGTGAAACACAATCATTATCCCCACTAACTCAAAAGCCACACCATTCGTTATCTAAGAACACTATTTACCATTATAAATCCAACCAATGATGTCAAAGTTAAGCCCAATTTCCAGAGTCAGATTTGAAAGATTTCATGTGATGTGTCAAATTTTTTACCGCACAACTAAACACTCCAAATCTGGGCAACACTGTTTTCATTATTTTCTGTACCTCCCTGAAATTTTTTTCTAAGATAATATCAGGTTTAATAAATAAACCAATCTGCCGATTTAAATATCCAATGCCCAGACATGGACTTAAGTTCCTATTTGGGTTAAGTTCTCAAATCTATGATTGGGGTTTATGGAATGAAGGGGCAATGAGTGAGGTAGCTTCTATGATTGGGGTTTCATTAACTACGGACAGGGTAACCCAAGAAAGAACCAGCCATAATTACGTTAGGGTACTCATTGAAGTTGATGTGTCTAAGCCACCGCCATTGTCCTTTCCTATACGATTACCTTCTCACAAGGTAATTGAACAATGGGTGAGATATGAAACGTTTCCGAATTACTGCTTTCTCTATAAAAAACTGGCTGAAAAAGAAATGAAAGAAAAAAATGATAAAGAAAAGAATGATATTGGTGTTGAAAAGGAGGATATATTGGAAAAGTTACAAGGTGAGGAAGTGGGTGTGAAGGAAATGGAGGATCATAGCATCGTTACAGTGCCAAAGCCTACTGTCACGACTAAGGAGAAGCTGATTTTGCCACAACCTAATGTGGCAGAAGAGACTGAGAGTGAGAGTTCTGGATATGGATCGTATGAGACTGACAATGGATCGGGGGAAGAGGACCAGACAGATTACGCAGACTTTGATGAAGTTTATATGGACGGTAAGGTTTTTATGATTAAGAAAGATGCTAATATGAACATAAATGAAATGATAAAGAGAATTCCACGTTTAAGCTGGGAGGAAACTTTTGCTAAAAAGAGGATTGCTCTTCCAAATCTTTTTAAGGGGTGGACAAATGGGAAGAATAAAAAAAGGAAAGAGGGCGGAATGGATAATGGACAGATCGCTTTGTAGGGGTCTGGTGCTTTTTGTTTGAAAATCTGTTCTTTCGGTTTCTGCGATGACATTACTATTGGAGACATTTGCTCTTGGAAGTTAGGATGTGAGTATATATGTGATGTAGGGTTGCTGCTTGGGATGATGCAGTTTGCTTTCAAAGCTGGGAGCTAGTCCACGTAAGATTTCTAGGCTGGGAGCTACTGTGCTGCGATTTGCTTTTTGGAGGCTGCGTTAAACTGGAAGCTACTGCAATTGTTTTTGGGATGCTGCGTTTGCTGTTTTTGCAGCTGGGCCAAGGTTATTAAGGATGTGGCTTTTTGCTTTTTGATGGATTTATTTATATTAGATTAGTCTAACTTAGATAGATATTTTGATCCTTACTTGATACATTGCAAAATGTTATTTTTGGGTGTTTTATATATATACTTACATTTCATCCAACAAAAAAAATAAAATAATTAATTTTTTTCAATGATTACTTGTATATATAGTTCAGGACCAAGTGTTCATTTCCAAAAACCAATTGTTAGATAAAAATTCTAAAGCTACCCCATTTTCTACCCCATATTGTACCCCCTCCCTAGTTTTGTGATTCACAAAAGTAATGAATTTAAGTGGGGCAATTATTCTGTGGGGTTAAAGTTTTGTGAGCCATTCAAAAAGTGAGGTATAAATAAGGTACCCCATTTTGGGGAACCTGTAGCATTTGTTTAAATCAGAACAAAAAAATATTTTCAAATATTTATTTGAAGAGATAGATGTTTTTTAATGGTAAATATTTTTAATTATGTGGTATTTACAGTAAATTAAAACGTAGTGGAATTGGTAGGACTTCACCAAAAAATTTAACCTAAAAACAGTGAAACACAATCATTATCTCCACTAACTCAAAACCAACACCATTGGTGCTCTAAGAGCACCATTTACCATTTTAAATCCAACCAATGATGTGAAAGCCCAATTTATAGAGTCATATTTGAAATATTTTATGTGATATGTCAAATTTCTTACCGCATAACTAAACATTACAAATCTGGGCACCACTGTTTTCATTATTTTCTTCACATCACTAATATTTTTTTCTAAGATAATATCACATGTTTAAAAATTTCTGGGCACAACTATACAATTTGTGCACATTTAAATTTGGACACAACTATACAATTTCTGCCTATTTAAAAATCCGACGCCCAGACATGGACTTAACAAAATTCGCTAATTTTTTCAATGATTAATTGTATATATGGATCAGGACCAAGTGTTCATTTTGAAAACCCTGTTGTTAAACAAAAATTCTAAAGCTACCCCATTTTCTATCCCATTTTGTATTTCCTCCCTAGTTTTGTGGTTCACAAAAGCAATTTAATTTAAGTGGGGCAATTATTTTGTGGGGTTAAAGTTTTATGAGTCATTCAAAAAGTGAGGTATAAATGGGGTACCCCATTTTGGGGAACCTGTAGCACTTCTCGGGAATAGCTCAAATTCAGACTGTTAAAAACATAACAAAAAAATATTTTCACATATTTATTTGAAGAGATAGATGTTTTTAATGGAAAATGTTTTTAATAATGTCGTATTTATAGTAGGTTAAAACGTAGTGGAATTGGTATGACATTACCAAAAATTTAACCTAAAAATAGTGAAACACAATCATTAACTCCACTAACTCAAAACCAACACCATTGGTGCTCTAAGAGCACCATTTACCATTTTAAATCCAACCAATCACGTCAAAGCCCAATTTCCAGAGCCAGATTTGAGAGATTTTATGTGATGTGTCCAATTTCTTACCGCACAACTAAACACTCCAAATCTGGGCACCGTTGTTTTCATTATTTTTGTACCTCACTTTTTTTTTTCAAAGATAATATCATGTCTAATAAAGAAACCAATCTGCCTATTTAAAAATCCAACGCCCAGACATGGACTGAACAAAATAATTAATTTTTTTCAATGATTAATTGTATATACAGTTCAGGACCCAAGTGTTAATCTCCAAAAACCAATTGTTATCACAAAAATTCTAAAGCTACCTCATTTTCTACCCCATTTTGTACCCCCTCCCTAGTTTTGTGGTTCACAAAAGCAATGCATTTAAGTGTGGAAATTATTTTTTGGGTTGGAGTTTTGTGAGCCATTCAAAGAGTGAGGTATAAACGGGGTACCCCATTTTGGGGTACCTGTAGCATTTCTCAATAAATAAATTCATTCCAATACATTATTTAAATTGTAGTTTAGCACCTATAATCTGCATCTTAGATTCTCTAACCTATCTATTAAAATCGGAGGAAATAAGTAGATGACTTTGTGAGTTTTGCTTGACATTAGGCGGAAAAGCTCTAATTCAGACTGTTAAAATCAGAATAAAAAAATATTTTCAAATAACTACATTTGAATCATTGAGAATAAAATAGATAAGTAGTGCTCTAAGACTGCATAAATATTTTTCACTTTTATTCTGGGCCAAAAACTTATATCTTTGACAAACATCACAATTATAAACACTTGCACGAATGCCTGACATCATTCCCGTTTGAAACTAGAATCAAATAATTATTACTGGTACATTTTTTGAACTGATGTAATATAATTACTAATGACCATCATAAGAATTGTCATGGTAAAACAAATTGCCTTGAACATGCCAGCCAATCAGGGGGGTGATGTGTGGTGAGTTGTATTGTGTATCCATCATACATAGTATTGAACTAATTACACCATGCATGAAAAATTTGTAGTTATAGGATACATATGTAGTCTGCCAAAATGTGAATATTTTTGCCAAAATCTGTGCACACATTTCTGTAATTAAAAAACAATGGAATTAAAAGAAGTGCCTAGATGATACAAACTGTCATGGATATGCCAGCCAATCAAGGGGGTGATATATGCTATATTATGTTATAAATACGGTTTTTCCTTTCACATTTTTTACCGACAAAGAATCACTTTTAATCATTTTCATTCCTTGCACATTGTGTTACAAACTTACAAAGGTTGGAATTATTGTTCATTCCTGGTGTTGACTTAAACTCGGAAATGCAGGGGCCAGCCTAACGATCCTGATATCGCGGCTTTGAGGAATCCCTCTGCGCGGGGTTTTTATTTTTTTAAATTTTATTTTTAAATGGGTCTGTAAATCTATTAAATAGATTTAGGATAGATGTAGGGCAACACATCTGCCTCCAAAGAGATAAAAGGTACGCCACTCTATGCACATCCTCCATATGAATCTGGTTATATAACATTGCCTTTATATGTGCTGCATTACACTTCCGCCACAAAATCAATTTTCCAAATACTATTTAAAATATTCGTGAAACCTTCAAAAAATAATGGAACAATATTTTTCAACATATTCAGAGGGTTTTAAAAAAAAATTAACGATTAAGTAAAGTGAATATACCTATATTTAACACCTGAATCTTAAACCTACCCCGCACGTTCACCTTAAACCTGAATCCATCAAAAAAAAGTTTTTTTAGTAGTTGTAGTTGTAGATCTTAAAACCAAGATTAATGTGTAGATTACAAACCTAACAACAACATCATTTGAACTGCAAGAGACACACCAAAAGCTATCCCCGTTAAGGAAAACCTTACGGTAACAACCAATGCAAGAAATGTAGGACCATTCTTTGAAGCTGTCGATAGCCACAATTTCCACATAAACCCAATGCTTCCCGTCCTGTTTATGATGCATAAATATAAGTCAAATTTTATTTTAACATATTTCAACATAAAATTGAAATGCACTTGCCTCCTGAAGTTTCGTAAGATCCTCAATAGTGATCAAATCCTGTTGGCCAGTTCCAATGTCCCCATCGTCCGAGTTGTCAGTTGTTATTGAAAATCGAAGTCCCTTACTGGACCTTTCAGCCATCCTGATTTTTTTATTAAAGGTTAAGGAAGGATGTTTTGTTCATCTTGGTATCATTAAAGATAAATTTTAAGACTATATATCTTGACTTGAATTCCACAAATTCTTCACCACTCCCATTTAGAATGACCTTGGTGGTGTTAAACATGTTGGAAACATGAACATGACCTAATTCAAGTATCATCTTTTGTTAGATGTTGTTGGATAAAGTAACCTAAGGGTAAGGGGTGTTAAGATAACGTTGATACTTCCTAGCTCTGCAACACTGCAGTAGCATCACAATTGGATCCAACGTTGTCTGCTTGTACGTCATGAGCATCTCAACCATTGGTCCCCATAGAGTACAGGCTATCACATTCCCTCTACTAAAAACGTTTAGTTTATTTCAATTTTAAGTCTACTATAATAAACACTCTCTTAAAGCGTTTAATGACAGATCAAGAACTCACTCTGGGTCTCCCAGAACCAACTCCATCAATTTCCTGGGCCTCTAATTCTTCAAAATTGTTTTTGGGTCTTTGCCATGCACTACTTGGCCCATTATGTCTGGATAATAGAACTATATTAGAGGGTCTAACGGGGTTATAATAAGTTTTATATATCAAGATAGGTCAATATAAATCGCACCGATTTCAAATTTCTCATCAATGGTGTCTTGGGATTGCAATGAAGCAAAAGATACCAGTGAGTAAATTCTTATGGGGAATGGAACCCCCTTGATCTCAAATGCAGCACTTTTGTTTAAAAAATGAAGTCTATAGCCACTTGTTGAGGTTTTAAAGAACATGTAGTTCTCTTCCACCATGAAATTTTTCACTGCAAACAAATGTTCGTCCTTGAAGATGCCAATGAACTTATTGATGAACTGATCCGGAATATGCGCATGCATCTTGGACCCCTGAAATTTACCAAAATGTCAACATAGATTGTGCTAAAATGCAAAAGAATGTGAACATGAGATTGAATAATAGATGTCCAAACCTCTTCTTCATGGAAAACAACCTCCAACGATTCTGGGAAGCAGTCATGTGCTGGTTCTCGATACACTCTTATAGTCCTAGCCTTAATTGCCCATGTGGTTCTGCTCTGATCAATCTCACGAAACAACGACCACATCCCAACCATCTTTAAGAATGAATGCTTGTATTTCTATAGTTAATTGCTAGCTATGAGCTGTGAAGGTTAGAACACTAATGTTGGTCTATTTATAGCTGGACACCCAAGTGGCCAACACCACATATTCAACCAATAATTTTCGGAAATGGAATGGGGGGAAAACTGTTTAACAAATTTTGAATTTCAAACTGGATTCTCTCGAAGAGTTCCCCCCTTGCCCAGTAAGATACTGTTTATACTTTTAAAGCAGCCAATGAAAATGAAGGCACGTGAGTGGGAAATCCTGGGAAAATCCAAAACAACTATCTCCCAGCCCACCACCCCAAACCGGCCAATGAAAAACAAATGTTCAAACACAGGAAAATCCATAACAAATCAAAACAGTAGCTGAACTCCCTAGAACCACATATCTAACGTCTTGCATTGACCGGAGAGCACTAATTAAGGAAATACGAAACGTTAACACCTAATAGAGCTCTAATTTAATTGGAAATTACCCTTAACTGTTGAAAGTGACATTTTTTAGCGGGAAGAGGAATGATAATTGCTTTACGACTTGAGTCAGTTTAATTGAATATTATACTTTTGGGGAAAATAATTAAAATACTCCAAACTTTAAAGGGGTGTGAGATAAACACCTCAAACTTGCATATATAATTTAAATACCCCAAACTTTTATAAAAAGTTATTTTAGCACCATGGTCATGTATTATTTCTTTCAAAAATATTAATTTTTGGTGTTTATTTCATATTTAATAATTTTTAGCACTCATAAAGATATAATTAACATTCTAAACTTCCATGGTAAAATAAATAGTATTTCCCACCACTATATATAATTCTAATGTTTTCAATTTGCTATTTTAAATTATGCATTTAACAACATAAATTTACATTTTTAAAAGAAATCATACATAACCATGGTGTTAAAATAACTTTTTAAATAAAGTTTGGGGTATTTAAATTACATATGAAAGTTCGGGGTGTTTATCTCACACCCCTTCAAAGTTTGGGGTATTTAAATTATTTTCCCCTATACTTTTTTATGATAAATTTATTTCTTATTATAAATTAAATGAGTAGATAAATGGAATCAATAAAACTCTTAACTTCGATAGAGATTTAAGCCCCAGTTCATCTAATTTGAAAAAGAAATATAGAACATGATATATTGTGTTTTACCTCTGCATGTAGACCTTAATTTAAATGCGTAATATGACTTGAGAGAAGTAGAGACACGTGATAGAAAATAGAGTAGATTTTTAAATATAGACAAAATTATTCAAACTCCCGAATTTTAATTTGATTAATTATGAGATGAGATATGAGATTATGAGCACCTAAATTTACATGTGTAAATAAATACGAAGTATGTAGTATCATACTATGTATATTTTTAAAATTAAGGTGATGTCAATACCATGACTCTATGTTACTTATAAATAATGAATGTAATTTAAAACTATTTCACAAAAATTATATGATAATTGGGTATTAGTAAAGATATACTTTGTACTCCTATAATTGGAAAAATGGTCAAATAGACTCTTCTACTATTTTTAATTCATCCCCTTCAACTGAAAAAAGCATCATATAAGTACGTTTAATTTTAGAATACAATCAATCAAACCATTTTGACCTTCTATAGCAAGTTATTTTTTAAAAAAATAAATTAAGACTATTGATAAATCTTACAAAAAATCATATAAATTTGAAAATATAATGTAATAATATATAAAAAAGTATAAATATAAAAATAGATAATCAATTTAAAAACGTTAAAATTAAAAATAGAAAATCAGAAAATTGAAAAAATAAAGTGAAAAATAAAAAATAAAAAACCATTTAAATAGATGTAGAATATAAAAAAATAAAAATTAAAAAGTATTGATTTTAACATTTTGAAAACTTTGACAATTTATATATATACTTCTTTAATTTTTAACAAAATTTTAGAGTTTTTAAATATTAAAAACCTGTTATTACAGGTCAAAAATTGATTAAATAGCCAAATGGATCAATTTGTTAAAGTAGGCCTACATGTGTGTAGGGGTGGGAAAAACTGAACCGGAAACCGACCATGACCCGGCCCGAATTATAATTCTGGTCCGGGTTTTTTCCTTTTAACCGGATCGAATAAAAAAACCGGAGCGAACATGAAATTTCAGGCTCATTAAGAGGCCCTAAAATCTATAACCCGCACTAGTACAAGAGTTTTTACGTCACCTTATTTACATGTGTTATTGTATAACCCATGTGAAATATAGACACGAGGTTATTTTTACAATTTTTATAAACTTTTTCACATGAACCGTTTTTACACCCGATGTTAAATATTGAAACGGGGTATATTTTAAAATTTTATTAAATATTTTACATCAATTTTAAGTGCAACCGATATCAAAGAAAAAACGGGTTCACGTTTTTAATTAAGGAAAGTTGTTTAACATCGCTTGCAACCAATTTAGAAAAGCACCTAAAATAAAATAACCGCCCTTATCATAGCGCACAACATCTCTTTGTTTTGGAGGATGCCAACCCTAGCCGAACTAACTTAGAAGAGCAACGACCATCGACCCGTGACGGCAAACAGCCAACAGACAACAACGAGAGACAAGGGCCCGGCTAACGAAGAGCGACCAGAGATGGACCAACGACCAGACTGGCTTCGAATCGCGTTTGTGGACTGCCGGAGATAGAGCAGCAATCTGCCCTTCTATGGCGGGTGTCCTAACGGTCATCGTCTCCATGAATTCCTTCATCATGGTGGCTAAATCATCTTAGCGGTTGTGGCGCCATGGATCTTGACGTCTCTGATACCAAATTGTTAGGGTTCTGGGATTGAGAACGGGTCCAAGGACGACTCGGGGTAGCAGGGTACCCGGTTGAGGTATTAACCAGCCTGCTAGGGTTGCTCTTCTTCTTGCCCGTGGCTGGAAGAGCGCATGGAGGTGGAGAGGGAGTCCGTGACTTCTCTAGGAATAACTTTAATGATTGATGATTATTATTCCTCCAAAGAATTATAAATAGGCACTCTGCCTTTACATGATTAAGTCCTATTCTAACTAAAACTCTAAATTAAATATAAAGATAACATCAAACTGGACTCCTCTTCTAATTAAAAGAAACCCTAAATTAAATACTCCCTCTGACCCTAATAACTTTGACAACTTTCCTTTTTTGGTTGTCCCAAAAACTTTGACACTTTCTCTTTTTATCAATCAATTTGTGGTTCCTGTTATTTCTCTCTCATCTGCACAAATCTCTACCACACAGTTTTTACTTTATTATTCTACGTGTCAGTCAAATTTGGCAATCCTTTTAGGGACGGAGGGAGTATAAAGATAGCATCAAACTGGACTCCTAATTAACATCAAACTGGACTCCTTCTAATTAACTAAAACCCTAAAAATGCATCCGTAAAAGATATACTCCGTATATTTTGTTTAATCAATATAGCTTGTCCAACACCAGACACATCTTCAAGAGGACTAGCAAATTCTTTTTATTGGCAACTCGGCTATAGATAACTAACTAACTAACCGGTATCCAGGGAGCTTTTAAAGATGTTAAGCCACTAGGTAGAGCACAAATTCATGTAAGAACCACTGCACAGCACAAAATTGTACAACACCGATCCACTGCAAAGTTCATTCAAACCCCAAAATTCCTACAATCTTGTGGGAGGTGGGCTCAGTAGGAGATATCTTTTCCAAATAATTCTGCAATACCTTGTGCAGGGTCTCGCTGTTTCACAATCAACTCCCCCACCAAGACCTGCAATATCACCAAATGTGAAATTACCGAATGGAATGGCTTAAAGACTACTAAACACCACATCATAAATGAATTCTTAAATGGCTGAATGGCAGGGAGACTGAAATGCGAAATATACATACAAAGCACGTCAACATGCTCACTACAGAGCACGTTGGTGTGATAAATGGTCTGGATTCTCACAAAATTATATTAAATATGTTTCTTAATAAATTACAGTAAAGCATTAAGAGTCTAGATGAGATCGGCGAACGGGTGGTCACTGAAATGAGTCCGCTACAAAAACAAAGAAAATGTATTTTCAAATAAATTAAAGTAAATCGAACAGAGTATTTAAAAAAATATGGGAATAGATGTCTCATTTGTCTTCATTTAGCTTAATTCTGCCAAATGAAAAGGACAATCAATGCATGCATAGATTTTTCTCAATCAGCCGACTCTATGAGTGCAACCTACTGCGTTGAATATATGGCGCTGCATATAAAATATGGTAAACAAAGATAATCAAAAAACGGTGTACCAAACTGGAACCATTAGTCCATTATACCACCCTGATGGAAGACAAGTCACAACATGTCACTAATTTCTCTCCATTTGGGGGAGCTAAGAGTGCAAATATGGAAAGACATTCACCTCTCTAACCCCCCCCCCCCCCCCCCCCGCAACCTCCTATGCACTTCCTATTATCATTAAACGATACAAAAATAGATACAATTTATTGGGCAAAATAATTTTGCATCTTACTGCTCTAACGCCAGCTTCTTGTACATAGGCAATATCAGCAGGTGTAAACAGTCCAGACTCCCCAACAACCTACACAAACAAACGCAGAGAGATATGAGCATATTATATATATAAATATATATATATACATATATATATATATATATATATATATATATATATATATATATAAAATCAAATTAAGGGGTTAGGGGGAAATGATTGAAAAAGATGCAACCCCAACTAAAAGTTCTTACAATTATGCCCTTTTCACGGATAATTTCCCCACGTTCCCCTTGCAGGAGCTTCTTTGTGTTGTTAATATCAACTTCGAAAGTTTCTGCCGATACACAAAAGTGCAACTTGTTGACAACGGCATTTTGAACAAAAAAGAATAAAAACACACAACATACACACACATGTAATACATATGTGCATGCCGATAGGACTGCTCTGGTCCGGACTTTTTCCTGTCCGGCTGTCCAAACTTTTGATATATAGGGGGTGTTTGGAAATGATTCTGCTTCTGCTTCTTTTTTAAAACAGAAGCAGAATCAGATGAATGCCATTTCGAGGTTCCTCGTGACTGATTACCTTACAAACCTCTCAACTCGCGAAATCACGCATTCTTTGAGCTGGTGAAAACGAAAGGTAAAACGTAGAGTGGCTTGGGCTGTCCGTACTGGTCTCCGGATTGCCTTGGCTCGAAGCTTCGAAAAGGGATATTCGAAAAAAAAAAGATAGGGCAGACTCAGACTAAGGTTGCTTTGCTTCCTTCACGTGAAAATGAAAAAATGGACAAGCAAATCGAAAACGAAGAACGAGGAGGCATTGCCTTCTCTTCTGCCATCTAGCCTCTCCCTCCTTCAAGCTAGGGATAAAAAAGAAAGTCAGGGAGAGCGGGCTAGACAGCGAGTAAGACAGGGAGAGCTTACTCCGCTGTTCGTGGTGGAGTAAGGGCTTAGGATTAGGGGTAAGGGCATGCCTTAAGGCAGCTCGTGACCCAGCATTAGACTGAAGTAGTTTTTGTTTTGGGCCCCGATACTAAGAGTTTGGTATCAGTTTTCAGAAGTTGGTCACCCCCACCATCTAAAAAACTGATTCTAGGAGTAAATTAGAGCACCAGAATCACTTCTGCACTTTCACCGAAACACTCCAACTTCTGCTCCATGAAAGAGCAAAAGCAGTTTTAAGAATCAGATCCAAACACCCCCATATTATGCACACAAAATACACACATTATTACACACATAACTATTAAAAAAAGTTTCTGTTACTTAGGTCTGATCTCATCATATCATACCATGTTACCGCAAATATTGTGTATAAAGCATCAACAAGATCGAATTTATTAAAATTTTGGTGTTATACTTGAACCCCTCTCAAGTATTATCACTGCTATTGATTGAATTAGTCAAATTTACCTAGGAGTTCGTGCATATTTGGAAAATAAGCTTATTCAAAGCTTCTTAACTCCAAGAAGCTAAGTGTTGGCCCTTAAATTAAAATTTGAGGAAAAACTTGAGGTGTGCATGAGAAGGAAGACCTCTTGTATGGAAAAGTTTTATACAAAATACTTGGGGAAGTGTGCTTAAACATAACATGCTGCTTCAGAGTTACTTGTTGATGTGGATAAGTATTAGGTACTAATAAATATTAATTTTGAATATATGAAAATAAGATTAAATACTTTTACACAATATAACAGCCCTGCTAAATGTTTAAAATGTGCATATTTGTAAAATAAAATAAAATACCTAGGTCTCTGTTATTGATCCCAATCAGTTTAATCCCGTCTATTCCAAGCACACAGTCCATCTCCCTCTCATCATGTACCTAGGGGCATGGAACATCAAAGAAATATTACCTAGCTGATCTTGATACAATGAGAAGCCTATTTCCTTTAACCCTTGCTACTCAATAGAGTTGGTACATTAGAAAAATAGTTGTTAAGACCGTTTCACGCTCAGATGATAATACTATTTAATCCATCAAAAAATTAAATACAAAATAAGAAGTATTAAACTTCAGTCATAAATGATTAAGATTACTTATCATTTCATTTTCATTTTCATTTACCCCAGTGCCGCAGAGGCTCCCACCTACGGTGGGGGTAAGGGGGGGTCGGATGTACGCAGTCTTACCCTGTACTAAAGCACAGAGAGACTGTTTCCGGATGACCCATAGTGAAAATCACGTCCAAAATTGCATGGACTGACTGCTGCTCCATAACAAAGAAGCGCAGACAGTTTAGTGAGCCATTTTGCTTTATTCCATCATAATCTCAAGCCAAAAAATAATGAATCTTTGGCTCCATTGCAAATGATTAAGATTACTTATATGCTGATAAAAGTGTTGAAGTTATGTTCTAACAAACCTCAACAAGTGCAGCAAGCCCAAGCAATTTGCAGATCTTAAGCATATACTTTATATCAAGATCGGGTAAAATGGCAGCAATTAGAAGAACTGCATCAGCCCCTTTGACTCGAGCATAATAAATTTGCCATGCGTCAATAATAAACTCTTTGCATAGTAAAGGACACTGCATTATGGAGTATTGTTAATAAGGGGTTCAAAAGATAGCGAAGCAATTGGACAAAATTATAAAGATGTTACATGCACAATAAAGATGGGGAATACCATTACTCCAGAATTCCTTATGGCCTCAAGGTTTTCAAAGCTTCCCTAATTTTGCAAAATTAAATAAGAGAAATAAGTGGGTTGCTAATATTTGAGTTGTATACTAAGGAACATGAGAATATATCAATATTTACCTTAAAAAACTTTTCATCAGTTAAGACACTCAGGCATGCTGCTCCACCTTTCTCATAAGCTTTGGCAATTTCTACCTGCCACAGAAAACATCATAAACAGTTATGATTCAAATTATGGTGTCTTGAAATTATCTTAATAGTTCAAGTTGGTGGATAGATAACTGTGATCTATCCAAGGCAAAGTCCAAGGCTGAACTTCCTGTCCAATTCAATTGCTCTTGGACTAAACAATTTGACAGAATAATAAACAGTTTTGACATTATATGTTTATTCTTTAATATTGCACATAATATTTCTACTGAGTCAAATAATGCACTAAAAAACATCACCCCCTCATGTTCTTCTTTGTTTTATAAGATTTTAAGAAAACAATGCAGACTAAAACCAAAGGCCTTGTTCGGGTGGTTGCCAGTTTTTGGGTTTTTATTACAAAAGTTACACGTTACACTTAAGTTGCATTGTAATGCATGGATGGTAAGCTATGCATCTATTAGGTGTCAGCTATCATTTTCTAATATACAAAAAATACCAAAGCAAAAAACAAGACACTGAAACCTTACAGGATCAAAATCTTCTCTTAATACCCCTCTGCTTGGAGAAGCCATCTTTACTTCAGCAATCAAACCAGGCGATCCAGTTCTAGAATATGACTCTTTAAGAGCGCCAACAAAATCTCTAGTAGGCGGAGCTATGTCAAGTACTTTTCTCAATGCACCAAGAGGCTTTCTTTCCTTCATCTGACAAAGAAGACAATCAAACAAACCAACACGCCTTAGTTCTCATAAGCATCTCACAATCAAACAAACACAATACAGAAATTCAATCTTAAGAGTACCTCGTGAACTTCCTTATCCTTTTGCCATACAATCTCTTCTAGTATGTTCCGCGGAGTGTTCCCTTCATTCTCTAACCTAAATTCAAAAGGGCCAACATGATGCAAAGGTGGTCCAGTAGATGGCCTTCTCCGAATCGTTATACCCTGGCTAGCAGCAACCTCATCTTGAAACCTATCCACTTCCCATTCCTTGAATCTCAGAGCCTCTCCTTGGGATATATGAGATTCAGAATGCATTGCAGACCCTTCCTTCAATTTAGGTTAAATTTAGAACACCATCAACACCCTTGCTCTATGTAAATGTCAACTTAAGTTAACTGAATTATTAATTCCTACATACCCCCATTCACTCCATTTTCCTCACCCCAAAATCAGAGGTAGTAGGGATGAATGATATATGTTTCACAGAATTTTTTTAATTGCAATTCAACTTAGCCAAACAAGGTCAAACAAAATTCATGTACAGATGTACATAACTAATATGAAGTATTATCTAATAATCTAATATTAACACATCTTAAGGCAGTGAATCTATTTGCTCATAACGTGAGTTATTTTTTTAGTTTCTTAGTTGAGCATCAACAAAAAATGGGGGAAATCAAATTTTTAACAAAATTATTACCTCAGCAACAGCCTCCAAAAGCCCTTCTTTGTCTCCTTTAATATTGAAAGCTTCGCCTCCTTCTTCGTCTTGGTCAGGGATAGTGTTGTCCTCTTCTTGTTTGGCGGTTATGGCAGACACCAGAGCTTGAAAATGGGGTTTGCGTTTCTCCCTCCAGAGAGATAGAAGAAAGGGGAGCGAGGAGGAAGAGAGTGAGAAAGAAACGTGGAGCTTATCAGGTAAGCAAGCGAGTGAGATATATTGGGATTTTGCAGCGGCAAAATGAGATGATGGGAAGGAGACGAGGCAGCCAATTTTGGGCAGGGATAAAGAATTCATGACTGGGTTTGGTGGAAGACGGAGGGCGGAAGGCGGGAAGGGACCAGACGAGTGGGACGATGGACGCACGGGCGGCACGGCGGTCGGTGAGCTGGCGGCTGGCGGTCCGGTGTGGAGGCGTGGTTCACTGGCTCTGCTGCTTGCCTGCTTGCGCCAGGGCGGTCTCCGGGTTCTCCGTAACTGGACTTGCTACTTGGCTTGGTCTGTGCACTTTAATTCGTTTGGGCTGTTGAGCGCTTGGGCCTGCTTCGGCCCGGCCCTTATATTTTTCCTGAGATAAGGGTGAATTAAGTACATCAACTTGTATGAGGTGAAGTAAAGAGAACATCATATTACATCTGATATTTTTAAGTATGCAAACATGATTTTTTATGTTAATTGAGTACACTCGTTAGATTAACATGTTAATACGGTTGCGATCGCTAACAGAATGTCAATAGATCGACGTCAGTCCCCAGCCCCTTGGTCGATGCACTTTTGCTGGTCAATGCCTCCGCAGGTTGACATTCGAAGGTCGATTTTCCCTTTTTTATCGACTTCCTGAAGGTCGGCATCATAACTCTGATCCATTACCCCTTCTTACTCGACATTCTATTTGCCAACTCAGCCATATTAACGTGTTAATCTAACAAATGTACTCAATTAACATTAAATAACTGAGTTTATGTACTTACCAATGTCAAATGCAATATGGTGTACTTTTTACTCCACCTCATACAAGTTGATGTGCTCAATTGATCATTTCTTCTTTTTTTCCCTAAATGCCAAACGGCGTCGTGCCATTTTAAAAAACCGGCTTTCCTCATTTGCTCGATCGGCCTTCCCCTTCCTCCTGTCAGAAAACCACAGCCCAAGCTCGCTGGGAAAAGACAAAGGACCAACACGGCGGGCCCCCAACCTCTACCTATATCCTAGGTCGTATGGTTGAAGCAGGGGCACCGAGCCCAGCGGATCGACCCCTGAATTTGTAATCGTCGAATATTAAAGGAAATAAATGTCTTTCACTGAATTACTAAACAAGAAAAATGAAATAGTGTTAAGTTGTTAAAAATGGCAACAAATGATGGCTAAGAATTATACGACCACTAGTGTAGCACCCGGGACATGCCCCAATAGTGTGAATTTGACAGAAATACCAATAAATATTTTGAATTATTTATATGATACGATCAAAAGTTTGGCTACAATCAATTTTTTATGAACTAACCACCATCATGGAAGACGGTGAGGAATCACCATCTTTTGGAGTATGAAATTGTGGTTATATTATTGTTTATATGCTAATTGTTGTTTTAGTTGTGGAATATTAATTATTTATAGGGCTGATTATATGATGAGTGATGATAATAAGAAGTGTGGAATTGGAATTGGGAGTATGTGGAGTTTACATTGTTTTAGGTAGTGATTACATGCATTATTGGTGTAATACTTTTAGAGTTCCGCTCACGTGAATTAAAGTTCCATTATTTAAAAAAATTGATTGTGGATTAGAGCCTCACTCAAATATGTGAGATTGATTTTTGTATGATTAGAGTCCTATTACGTGTATTAGAGTCTTATTACTTAATTTTTTTTATGTTTTACAATTTTTTAGAAATTGAATTGATATCATATTTATTCTGAGAATTCTACTCCATTAATATACTTGTAGTTGATACTAAGTAGTTGTTCTATTCATTTGATATGCATATTTATGATTTTAAACTTTGGTCTAATCTGGTCTGATTTTTTATGATCTATTCTAGTCTGGTATGATCCTGCAGTATGAATGTTTCCGGTGGTGGATTTAAAGTTTAGTTTTTCAGTATTCAATATTTTTACAACTAATAATTTAAAGAAGTTATATCATTGATTTATGACTCAATTTTTACTTCATTCAAAAAACCCAATTTTCACTATAGATTTGATATATCATTGATTTATAACTCAATTTTTACTATTGATTGTTTTTATTTTTAAATGTGTAATATTGTGTCATATGAAAGATCATAAAAAATTATAAGTTATGATATATTTTTTGTAAAAATTGTAGTACAAAAAATTTAGAGAACTTCAAAAAAGATTCTTTCTCACCCCTTTCTACAAATCATTTGGCTTGATTAAAATAAAAAGGAGTGGTGCACCAAGTGAATAGTAGTGATGCGGGATATTATCAAAGTAATAATTGATAAAGTAATAATGATTTAGAACCGCACAAATTTTACCAAATTTGGTATGAGACAATCTTAGTGAGACGGACCAAAAAGAAAAAATGAAGACAATTTTAGCGGGACGGATGAAATAATATTTATTACATAATGAAATTAAGTGAGTAGGTATAATATATTAGGTTTTGGTTCAAATAAGAACATGATCTTAGGAGAGAAATGAGAATGAATCTGGACCGTTAGATTTGCTTTAAGTGAAATTCAGTGTGCATTAGATGAAACTGTAATGTGCATTAGGTGAAATTGAAATGTGTAGCTCAAATGGTACGATACAGTGGCATTATGTGAAGTTGAATTGTGCATTATGTGAAATTGAAATGTGCACTACGTGAAACTGAAATGTGCAAAATAAAAGGTACGGTGTGATGTTATTTTTATACCTTTTATTCCGCAAATTTCAGTTTCATTTAATGCACACTTGGGTTAAAAAAATTATTCTTCACATTTCAATATCATCCAATGCGCAATTTAGTTCCACATAATACAATCCAACGGACAGGATTTATTCTCATTTCTCTCCTGGGAGTCCGTTCTTACCGGAACCACTCCCTAATATATTATATTATTAAATGTGATAACTATATGTCTATATCATTCATGCATGTTAATGTTTACATGTGTTCATACTTGTTTTATGCACAAACAAATACAACATTACTAATCATATTTATGCAAAAATATTGATAAAGATATAATTAATATTTGCCGACTATTTTCCGCCTAGGCGCTAGGCACTGGGCTGGCGTTCGACTAGCACTAAGGAAACGTTGTTTAGGCCAAACCGTCAATTTTTTACAAAGGGAAATGCTGCTTTTTGCAGCATTTTGGCGTGAAACCGCCAAGAAACAAATGGAGCCCTAATGCGTTTTAGAACATTACTAATGCGCTAATAGTATTTTTAATGGGCTGAACAATATTTTAAAAAGTAACATCGCATCAATCATAAAGAATCTTACAACCTCATAATTCCTTTACGAAAAGTTGTGTCACATGGTATACATCTGAACCTCTCATCTTCTAGCTTGATTTTCTTGTTGCATGTTGGGCAACTAAGGTAGCACCATTCATTGTAGTTGTCTAATGATACTATATCACCGAGTAGCCAATAAATTCCATCTGAACCTCTCATCTTCTAGCTTGATTTTCTTGTTGCATGTTGGGCAGTTAAGGTAGCACCATTCATTGTAGTTGTCTAATGATACTATATCACCGAGTAGCCAATAGATTCCATCCTGCATAGACATGTATTTATAGTTAATAAGTTACCGTTTTTTGATAAATTAAACCTTTGATCAGTATGGAAAAATCTTTTACTTGTAGTTCCTGTATGTAGCAAGTCTGAAATGTTTGTGATAGTGGCCTTTCCCCTAAACACCTCCTCACTACCTTAACCCAATAAATTTGCAGTGAAGGTAGTGATTATCGTGTTATCGTCATCTGGTCTGAATCTGTTAGGTATGAGTCATAAATAGAGTCATTCGTAAGATTAGAAGTTCAAAAAAACTGTACAGAAAACACTCACTGCGCTTTGAACTCTTCAAATTCTGGAGTAGATCCATTCATTATCAACTTTGAAACATCCTAAGAAGTACCAACCAAAATTTGACTTGTAAAAATTTAAAAACTTTCATTAGCATACAAAGGTCAAATTTAAAAACTTGACTTTATAAAACTTTTATAAAGTTTACCTTGATAGCGTCTAGGTCTTCCCATTTGCAGGATGATGTAGATAGCTTCATCCTTGTGCACATCATAAAAATCAGTGAATTGCTTGCAGTAACTATTCCACAATGTGCATCCAATGCGATTTCCCCTACAATTAAGAATCAAATATCATCATTAGCGTATAAAAGAATACAACACTCTCATACAACATACATAGTTATTTCTTAAGATTAGGACGATACTCCAGATCTTCCAAAGTCAGTTCAATTAGCCTCTCACGTTTCCCATTAACGATAGGCGTATGTACGGGACTCTTGCCTACGTACTTTCCAATCACATATGTAGGCTAGAGTTGTGATGTTAAATGGTGAAAGTTTAGTGAAAAACTGCTTACTCAAAGTATATCAAATTATCGATTAGCAATTTGTCATTGATGACCCTTAGACTCTGCAACGTATCAAATTGGTGGAAATTGTATACCAAATTCGGAAAAGTTTCAGATTACAGGTCATAGACTGTAGTTTTTTTGAAAAACTCCAGAAGATAGGGGTGTCCTGTGGTTTTGTAGTTGTAATAGTTATTAAGAACTAATAAGTTCTTGATTCTGAAACATTTGTTTTCCACCAGTCTGGGTCTATACAGATGTATGAACGGCCTCTTTATGACTGCATGAATACGGTCACCCTGCAAAAAAAGATACATGAATAAGTATTATGAAATTGAATGCTTGAGAAGTGAAAGATGACAGACTTGAATTACTAATTATAATGCATAACCGAAATGGTAAATTACATCCTCATCGTGAAAAACAACTTCTAGTCTAGCACCTCCTTTGGAAAAAGAGGGAACCTCATAAGCTCTAACAACCATTACTCTAAGAGCCCAAGTTGATCTAGTGTGGTCAACTTCCTTAATCATGGAATACAAATTACCGTTATCTAGCTCAGAGTTTTCTTTGCTTGTTGCCATGTTGTGATGCTGAGTTTGAAATGAGATATACTTCGTATTTATAGTGAATTCAAAATTTTAGGTTTTGCAATGATAGTGAAAAACCCAGTGTGTAATATGCTTCAACCCTCTCATTCACCTCAGTAATGGCCACCCAACTCATTAATTGTTCAACCACCCGCATTGAATGCGTTTGACCATCTTGGTATTAATTATTTTTGCCAGCAAATCGTTTTCAATTCAGGAGAAATTCAGTTGTTTTAAATTGCATCGAAAATTTGAACCAAAAGCAGAATTGTCAAACTCATGTGGACCCAAGCCAAAAATCTGAATCTCCATACTTCACTCGTTTTTTGACCCGGCGATTTGGGCGGGAAAAGTGGAAGCATTTCCACTTCGTTTTGTATAGAGAAAGATAGCTAGTGAGAATATAAAACATTCAGGGTTAAAATTGGACCCCATAATAAGATCTAAAACATGTTGCAGAAATTGAAATACTTGGATGCAAAAGAACAGAAAACCGTCAAAAGGAGAGCCATAGAGAGAGCTGTGCAACATGAAGTGGAAAATCTAAGAATTCATATTGCTTTTTTTCCTGCTCACTTGCAATCGTTGGATATGGATTTGAGAATATTCTATAGGGTTCATTTCACTTATAGACGTATTTTCACATGATGGTTTTGCTCTCTTCAACCGAGAATAAGGGCTCAAACAATAGCAACCGACACATTCTCGTCGTGTTCAACGATTACCTCATTTTAGCTCAATATTTTTCAAACAAACACCAAGAAGTTTAATATCATAAACTAATTAGTGATAAGTATGCTACTGCCTTTCATATACCCATGTTTTGAGCTAAAAACACCACTCAAAAAATGCTCTCTCGGGTCAATCTTACAAGCAACATAGATAAGCGCAGCAGCTTCGATACACCTCCAACAAAGAAAATATATCGCAATTCAACAAAATATGGTGCATATGTCATACTCGATGCATTAAAGGTCAGATATTGTGTTGCAAAATTACATCAACTAATATTAAACCATTCTGTTGCAAAATTGCACCATTTGCTTTTTTAGTTTTTTAAAAGTAATCTTTACTGATTCTATCTGGTTTATTTTGTATGTAAAAGAGAACTTTTAGCACGAATTTTAAGGGAATGAGAAATAAAAGAGGTTACCATCGACATATATCATACATAGATACAAGCTTCGATAGATATTACCAGAAATGGGTAGAAGACACCCACACCAAAAAACATACGAAAAGATTAACAATGAACATCAAACTATACTTTAAACTACATAAATATTGGTCAGTCAAGCATATAAACTATATAAATACGCGCACTTTCACACTATATAGAATCTGAAATCCTTAGAAAAGGATCAGATTTCTTTGAAGTTGGGTTTCGAATAGTGTAAATTAAGAAAAAAACTGAGTTTGAAAGAGACGTTTTAGAGGATTGTAAATTCAAACATTCGAAAAGAGTAGACAGATAAAATCCAAGAGATTAAAAGCCAGGTCGATTTAATAGATCACAATAAACATGTCAATTCAAGAGACTTATAAAGAACTAAGTTCTATAGCAAGATAATGGTAGGATCATAAGTGAAAAGAGAGCTAATGTGAGGCAACTTTAATTGAAGAAAAACATCAAGCATTTTGAAACAAAAATGATATAGTTGAAGTGTGTAATCAAATACATAGTATATCATATATGATATACATACCTAGAACCTTTGGGAAGACTCTTTAATCTATATCTATATTAATTAAAATTTATGTTAATCCTTATATTTAAAACTTATGTTGTCTTTATATTTTGTGTTAATCCTTTTGTTTTGTTTATTTTTCTTGCTATCAGGATGTTTTTCCTGCTAATGTACTCAAATCTTTTATGATTAATCCTTTCTATCCCACATATGTAGTTGGAGAGTTTCATAGTTTACTAAACATAATACTCTACCTAGCCTTCTTCATTTCATAAAAAGCATAGTAAAATACAAAAATCAACGAAATGGGTCTTAGACATGAGTATACAATCTAGCAATATACAAATTGGACCCTAGAATAAGGACTGAAACACGTTGCAAAATTGAAATATTTGGATGCTAAAAAACATAAAACCACCAAAAGAAGTGTCACAAAGACAATTGCGCACAAGATGAAGGTGAAATCTAAGGATTTACATCGCTTTTGTTTCTGCTCACTTGCAATCGTTGGATATGGATTTGAGAGTGTTGAGTTGGTCAACGACAAGCAGAGTAAGAATATTGAGTTGTATGCATAAATAACAAATTGGATCTTATACACGAGCATATATCCTAACATGTTAATGAAAGAAGATTGTAAGTGAAGAAGGAAAGGAGCTTTAAGGAATCTCTAAAGAATCGGTAGAATTATGTGAAGAATTCAGATTACTTTTTTGAAGTGTTGTTGTCTTGTACACCCATGCATCATGCGTGAGAGATGAGCCAAAACTTCATCAGATGCTACATATCTAGAAGAAGAGTCTAGATTTTATGCTAATTGAGATTTTAAGTGAGAATAGAGTAGACATGTGAAGAAGGAGAGCCAGGAAGGCAGGAACTAGTAGAACCTTAGCAAATTGTAAGGAGTAAACACAAGAATCTGGACCGACAAAAGAACAAGTAATTTGAAGGAGTTTACTCAAATACCCTAAAAGGTTAGGTGAAAAACTCACTTAGTTGAGTTAATTATATGTGGATAGATAAGTAAGTCTTTTATTATAGTATTAGTAGAATTTGTTGAAAGAATGTTTTAACTTTTGTTGTATGCCACGTTAATCCTGTTCGAGTTTGTTAATTTTGAAGGACATGTGAAATAAGGAATAAAATTTTGCGCGTCTATTTTTTTAGAAAAAAAGGAAATCAAGGTCATAAATTAATTACTTTAAAGAAAACATGATAATCTTATGTGGCAATTAAAAAAGTTGACAATTCAGATTTTTTTTTATTTTATTAACAAATAGATTTAATAGTTCAATTGTTAATATAAAGTTTCAACAATTTCAATATATTCATAAACCACAATTCATTCATTTTATTATTTTGTGAAGTGAATTTTAATATTAATAATCGGATTATTAATCCCATAGTTAATCTAGATTTGAATTTGGATTTAAAATGTCACTCCTATATTGAGCATTATGAGTTATGACCTCATAAGCATGCTTTTTTTGTTTTTGTTTTTCTTTTTCGTTTTCTTATCCTTCTCTTTTCCTCGTTTTTGTACGGGGTTGTTGACAATGGGCCCACGTGTCGGACATTTCACCAGTCTTCACGAGGGAAAAAAAGAGATTCCACCCTCTTATTACCTTCCATCCAAAGTTGGTCAAATAGTCTTCTCCCAACTTCCCGTTAGCTTCAACTTCACTGTATTTCCGTAAAGCAAAACACAGCCCTTCCCCTTTTCTATCCTTCACTCTCTCTCTATATGTATATCTCTTTCTCACTCTATATGATACTATTATACTGTACACGTACAATTATTGTCATGTATATGATCATACGGAATATGCGACGCCCGATTCTTGAGCTCCAATCATCATTTTTCTCCGCTCCTCCCTCACTTACCATGAACCAATTTCTGCCCCGCCGCCGCCCCTCTTCTTGAATTCATCTACGGCGGTGCCGTGGTGGTGGCCGGAATGGCAGTTTATACAGACGTTGAGGCCGTGCTTGGATTTCTTAAGAAGAATGGGTTTACCCAGTCTGTGTCGGCTTTGAAGGAAGACATCGTGGAGAGATCCCAATTGGGTGGTTCATTTGATTTTCAGAGGGTATTCTTTCCCGTAGTGCCGCCGCCTTCACAGCTCAAGATTCCTCCCTCTCAGAGGACTGAGGAGGTTTCCGGCGGTGGGTTTGGTGGAAGTGGTAATCAAAGCCCCCATTCGTCTGAGGATGAGTTTATAAGCTTAGGTTCTTCAACCACAGAGCTCTGTTCATCTGGTATCTTCTGTTTATTTTTAGCTTTACTGTATGTGAGGGTTGTACTGTTTTAATTGAAAAGTTGTTGCTTTTGTTTATGAAATTACATGAGAATCAAGTTAAATCCCTATTTGGTGATTGTGTGAAACTAAAAGAAGGTAATTATTCCAAAAGCCCATTTTGGTTATTACTAGGATCACAATGTCTTAGGTTAAGTGGTTTGGTCCCACATCTTTTATGTTTGTTTGAAGCCTTACCAATAGGTAAGTTAGCACTTTTATATTGGTCCGGTGCGAGATGGCTTAACATTGTACATACCATATTGTTATATTAGAAAAGCTGTTGCTTTTAGTTCTTAATTGACTTAATACTCTATTTAAACCCAAATTTTAATGATCATGCGAAACTAATGTTACTGCCTAGTCCAGCTCTTATATGTTAGTGGGATTGTTGGGAGTTATTTAGAAAACACTTAGCGAAGTTCAGGTGTTTTATTGCTATGTTTATGTAGTTATGCACTTTTATCATTTGTAGAGTTTACAAATCCATATGGAATACGTTGTGACACATATCCGAGCTCTCAAGCATCATCTGATAGATTGTCACAGTTTGGGACAGCACGAGACTATCATGATTTTGATATGCAAAATGACAGTTTCTGGTACAAGGAAAAAGATGAAGATTATTCTATGCCGCCTGATTTTGGAGGCTCAGATTTTGCTTCCATCCCTAGTGAGGATAAATTTGTCATGACCTTAGGCTCGGGGAATCATCATAATGAAGACACTAAAGATAAATTTCCAAATGAAAGTGACCTTTTTTATAAATGTGTGGAAGATGAAGGAATTATTCGAAAGAGTGAAGAACTTTGTGCAGATTACAGATGTTCCTCCCCCCTTTGTGCTTGTTGTGGTGGCACAGGAGCAGTCTATACAGAGGACCTTAGCGACTATGGTGTTGTGGATCTGAAGTTAACCAATGAAAAGGATTCGATCCAGGAAAAATCTGGAGAAGAAATAAGCACTGCATATGGAAGCATCAATTCCATTACAAAAAAGAATTCAACTTACAGCTCCGATGAAGAAATTGGTGGAGAACCAAAAGAAGCTGATTTAGAAGCAGATGAAGAAGGTGATCCTGCTATCGATGAGCTTCAAATGTTTGATACTAGCGAGGATGAATTTCAAGCATTCGATCTTAGAATTATACACAGAAGAAACAGGTATTGTAAATTTTGTTCAAATAGAACTATCGTCGCTCTATCTGAAAATAAGATACATTTACTCGTAAGCAAGTACTTTTGTTCCTTTTTAGGGCTAAATAAGTCTCATTTTAGACTAAATCCCTTTCCCAGCCCCATTCTTCACCCACTCTTTAAGCAGGACAAAATTCATAATTGTTTTTTTTCCATTTTGGAATTTGGACACAAACACAAAATAAAACAGATTGAATCACACCAAAAGATAGAATACCTTTCTATCTTGTAAGATACACTTTCCTTTTGAGTTGTCCCAAAAATAGAATACTTTCTTAAATTGGACTCTACTAACTTTTTACTTTCCTACTTTACCCCTTTATCTATCATTTAACCCTTTACTTATTGTGGATCTATTTTTCTCTTTCTTACTTTTTGGAGGTTAGAATTGTAAAACAACCACTTTATGCCTTATTTTCTTAAAACCCGCACCAAACTCATATGCATCTTACATTATGGGACGGGGGTAGTAATTAATTAGCTAGCCTAGTTTGGTAATCCACCTTTTCAAACCGTATGTTTCTCTTTAGTACTTCTGTGTATTAAGATATGGAGTTTCATACTAAAAGGATAAATTGATATAAATAGTAACCCAAAACTTTATACGTGAGTTTATAATATTTGTATTTAGCCATTGTAAGATGGTTTAACATGCCCTCAAGATGGGTAGGACTGTAGGAGGCCCTTGGAGCAATCTTTGTGGTTTTTTAAAGGAAATTGACATTGGAACAAAACATGGCTTATCATGCTCCAAGTGCTTCGCATCGACAAGTTACCATCTCTATATTTTTTACCATCTCTATATTTTAATGGAGATCATCATCATCATCATTACCCCAGTGCCGCAAAGGCTCCCACCTACGGTGGGGTAAGGGGGTCGGATGTACGTAGTCCTACCCCTGTATTAAAGCACAGAGAGACTGTTTCCGAATGAACCATAGTGAAAATCGCGTCGAAAATACATGGACTTATTGTTGCTTCACAATAAAGAAGCGCGGACAGTTTAGTGAGCCATTTTGCTTTATTCCATCATATTCTCAAGCCAAAAAATAGTGAATCTTTGGCTCCATTGCAAATGATGGAAAATCTATATTTTAATGGAGATAATGAGCTTATTTCTTGCAGGTTCATTTGTAGCAAACAGTTGTACTTATATTATATGCCATCATCCACAGGACAGGATTTGAGGAGAACAAGGACATCCCTATTGTTCTTAACAGTATCGTCGCGGGTAGATATCATGTAACGGAGTACCTCGGTTCAGCCACCTTCAGCAAAGTTGTTCAGGCACATGATCTTCACTCTGGAGTAGATGTTTGCTTGAAGATAATAAAAAATGACAAGGACTGCTTTGATCAGAGCTTGGATGAAATCAAACTTCTGAAGATTGTAAACCAGCATGATCCTGGTGATGAACACCATATATTACGGCTCTATGATTACTTTTACTATCAGGTAGGCTCTATCACACAAATACTAGTTGAATATGAAATTTATTCTTTTTTTTTTGGAAAAATTTCATAAAAAATACTAACGAACTATCCTGTGCAAAAAATGTTACTATTGCAGTTACTCATAGTCAACTTGCAATGACCAAATATTACAACAGTTACCAACAACTAACTAGTGATGGTTGGTAACTGCATTAATATTATTTTTTATCTTAAAGTTAACTTGTTTTCAGCTAGTTATTAAACTAGTAGTAACATTTAGGGAAAATCCGTTTTATTATTTAAAGTGTTTACTTATGATATTACTAAATGTTAAAGTATTCACATCAGAAGATTATCCACATTTCACCCATTACTACTAAATCCACTCATGACTGGAGCTGTTGGCGAGATATTTCTTGTTATTCCGCATTAATATTTGCCTTCTGATTAGCAATGGGTGAGGACTAAAATAATTCACTGAAAATCATGCAGGAGCATCTCTTCATTGTTTGTGAGCTTTTGCGAGCTGACTTGTATGAGTTTCAGAAATACAATCGAGAATCTGAGAGTGAACCATATTTTACAATGTTTAAGCTAAAGGTTTGGTTTTAGTCAAATCAGTTTTTTAACTAATATTCTTTTTTCGGCATTTTATCACATTAAATTGATCGTTTGCACTTTTACAGGCTATAGCACGGCAATGCCTCGTGGCTCTGGAGTATTTGCACAGTTTGGGGATCATCCACTGCGATCTGAAGCCTGAAAATATCCTCATCAAAAGCTTTAAGAAATGTGAAATAAAAGTAATTGATCTCGGAAGCAGTTGTTTTGACACAGACAACTTGTCTTTATATGTCCAGTCTAGGTCCTATAGAGCTCCTGAGGTTATCTTAGGCCTCCCATATGACCATAGAATTGATCTTTGGTCTCTTGGATGTGTATTGGCTGAGCTATGCACTGGAGAGGTAAGAACAACGTTTTCCTCCTGAACTAAAAGCTTGTATTATATTGTTACCGAACACATTGTTATTGTTATAAGGTAATATTGGTTATATTATTTCATGAAAATTTTAAAGGAGAAAATACATGATTTGTTTAATGGCGCGTAATTTGAATCACAGGTGCTCTTTCCAAACGAGGAAATTCCAGTTTTGCTTGCACGCGTGATAGGAGTACTTGGTCCCATCGACATGAATATGTTATTGAAAGGACAAGAGACGGACAAGTATTTTACAAAGGAATTTGAGCTCTATCAAATAAACAAGGTTTGTTCCTTCGCAAATCTCTTAGACTCTTTGATATATTACATATGTAGTAGTCATTTAGTATTTCATTTATTATATAAACCCCTTTATGTGTACTTTGTTTAGGAGTAATGTAGTTATTCATTTAACAATACAACTTTTATAGAAACTAGTGCATATTCGTCATTTTCGTGTTTCTCTGTTATAGGAGACGAATCAAGTGGAATACATAATACCTGAGGAGACATCCTTGGAGGATCAGTTACAGGTCTTCTCTGATCCCTTGTTCATTGATTTTGTAAGGAATCTGCTTCAAATTAATCCTAAAAGCCGACCCACTGCTTCTCAGGCTCTTCAACACCCCTGGCTTCTTTCTTGATACAGCATAATCCATGTTTAGATTTTTCCAGTATCATGGATTTTATTATTATTTTTTTTTTAAATTGAAATCCCAGTTCGGAGCTGGATTTGATTCTCAATCCCAAATTCTTCCCGGCAGTTAAAAGAATCCAATAATCACATCAGGTTATGTTTAGTCCATACATACACGAGCAATAAAATTCCGTAGGTAGTCTTGATTCTTGTATAGCTGTTTGAATTTTGTTGGTGTTTCTAAATTCTTTGTTTACATGTCTTAGCGCCGTTGTATATGTAATTGGGCGTTTTGTTGTTTTTTTTGGATGACACTGATAATCTGGTTTACTTGGATGACCTACCAGATTTTTTTTATAATAGTTGTTCGAAGTTTCCTCATTCTTTTATTGCTTACGTAGATGTTTAGTTGGCTCCTTTTCTCTAACTTTTGTTGTGTATTTTTTCCTAATTCTTGTTTCTGTTCTCATCATTTCTAGTGTTAGCTTTTAGCTACTTATTATGGCTTTGTTTGACAAAACAAAATCACAAGCTAGCTCATACTCCATGGTTGATATGTGCTTATAAGTTTGTTAGTACTCGTCAGTCCTGACCTTTGAGCTTTTGTACTATTTAGTTCTATGTTTAATACAATACTACGTACTTTTTAGATGATGCTGTCAAAAATTTAAGACTTTTTTAGAAGCTATTTCGAGAAGTTTCTTGTAGAATAATTATTGGTTTTAGCATTAAATAGTGATGACTACTGATTAGAGTTTGCTATGTCAAACAACCATCTCTGATCAGATTAGTTATAATTTCATCTTCTTAAAGACTCCTCTAAAGACTTCTATGCAATTGCAATATTAAAAAACATGAGAAGTATTTTTCGGCTAGTGGTGTGAAACATGCATATAATTTATTACTTATACGCAGCTGATAAGTTCGTTAGTTTATTTCAAAGCTAGCTCATAAGCTAGCTTTGAAATACTTGGAACTCGATTGGTAATAGGGGGCTCGTTTGATAACACTAAAATTAGCCGAATCTGTTGAATTGATTGAATTTGTTGAATTTTTTAAAATTTATATTTTATTAATAAAATAAAGAACAAATCACATGTAAAAACAACTAAAAGGACAACTCCGGTAACGGTAATCAATTTAGCTAGAAGGTACATTCGATTAGGGATGGACCAGGTCGGGTTCGGGTTAGGCCTTGGGTGGTACTGGGTTTGGGAGTTGGAGGCCCGGTACCGACCCAGGTAGGTGACTAGGTTCTGGGCTCGGACGGATCGGGTCGGGCCCGGGTCTATTTTTTTTGTTTTTTCTTATGTATTCCTACCCCACCCCAAACACCTCAAAACCACCCAGCCCAACCTGCCTACCACCCAATCTATTCAAAAAAATAATAAAAAAAATATTTTGGGCCCAGACCGGTCTTGGACCGGCCAGGCCAATTCGAAGAAAGCCTGAGCCCGTGACCCCCCCCCCCCCCTCCCCAACCCCCCCGGGTTGGGCCCAAGGCCCGGTCCCGGTCCCAGTCAACCGGTCAGGGCCGGTACCGCACAGTAGTGGTCCGGTTCCGGTATCGACCGGTCCCGGTCCATCTCTACATCCGATCATATTTATCTTGATAATACAAATTCAACGTGTGAAATCAAAATTATGTATTTGATAAAAGGTTACTAATAATGCTAATAAGATGAAAATAGGGATTATTACATTAGGGGGTTTTCCCCCAATATCGCTAAACTAAAGCTAATTTCAAAAAAGTGACCACATTTACATTTGGATAAAAATCTGACTAAAATGCTAATTCATGTCATTGCACCACTTCCATGTTATTGTCAGATGTCACAGTCATCGTCATCGCTCGTGTCACTACTGTTGTGTCACTGCTGCCGCCATTTCCCAGGTCGCCGCCCGACTGGCCCCGTCGCCGCCGCCACTGCCACCGCCGATCACAATGACACTTTTGCAGTGACATCTCCGTCCCAAATTTTGGTCACAGTGACACAGATACATTGACATTCACCACTACCTTCGATCGGTGACTGCCGTCGGGCACAGTGATGCTGCCACATTGACGCCACCACAGTGACGTCACTGTAGTGATGCCGGATTTTTCATTGATGTCGCCCACCGGAAGATACTCTGGACGCCGCCACCTTCATTAGTGTAACTACCGGAATTGTTTTCGGCGCCCCACCGCCAACAACACTACGACCTGCCACCACCGCCCCATCCTCAGCCACTGCCGCTGCCCCATCCCTAACGCCACCCCTCTCCCACCCAGCCCATGTCCCCAACACCTTCCCTTGCCCGCACAGTGATGCTGCCACATTGACGCCACCACAGTGACGTCACCATAGTGATGCCATATTTTTCATTGACGTCACCCACCGGAAGATACTCTGGACGCCACCACCTTCATTAGTGTAACTACCAGAATTGTTTTCGGCGCCCCACCGCCAACAACACTATGGCCTGCCACAGCCACCCCATCCTCAGCCACTGCCACTGCCCCATCCATAACGCCACCCCTCTCCCACCCAACCCATGTCCCCAACACCCTCCCTTGCCCGCCTCGGTCCCTCCAGTCCCTCTCCGACTTTGAGGACGGTGGATCCGGCAGATCGAGGACCCGTTGCGCCAAACTTGAGCCATCATCCACCGAGGTTGGCGGATCCAGAACCGACAACGGTTAATCGCCGCCCTCGATGCTCGCCCACCAGATTCACAACCCTCAAAGCTCGGATTTAGCCCCTTTGTAGTCGGAATCGCCCCATTTGCGCTTAGTAATTGGGAATTATGTCATCCCTGCAGCTAGATAGAAATAGAAGAAAAAGAAGGATGGCTGAAGATGGTGGTGCAGCAGAGAGGACTTGCAGCGGTGGCGCGAGAGAAGATGGCGAACGAAAGGCGGTGGCGACGTAGTTTGAAGATGAGAGGTGATGTGCAAAGATGAGAGGCGATGGGAGAAGATGAGAGGCGATGGACGGAAGTTTAGATGAAGGCTTCGTTTGGTTTGTTGGGCTTGAGAGTAGACGGAAGAGATAGTGTTTTAATTTTAAAAACGGTCACCTTTTTGTCGAGATTAAAAAGAGTGATATTTTTGTCCATCTAAAGCCCACACGTGATATTTTTGTCATTCTCTCATTAAACTAACTTTGTATTGGTTAAATATGTTGAAATTGATGAAATTTTGTTGAAGTGGTTGAATTTGGTGAATCATGAATATATTATATGAAAAGATATATTTTATTAATAAAATTAAGAAAAAGTTATATGAAAAAATAGATAAAGTGGTTATCTATAGTAATTTTAGTCAATTTAGATACAAAAGTAAGTCAAATTTTACTTATTTTGATCATTACATAATTAATGCGTGAAATTAGAAGTTACATTCTTGATGAAAAAGTTGATTGATAAATAAAAATAGAGGAAGACATACATAAAATGATATTTCAAAATAAAAACATGCTTCAAAATGAAAAAAAAAAGAAGACAGTACGTATAGCTAACCCGTCGATCACCTGAAGAACTAGTCAAAGAAGATTATTGAATAAGTTCGGGCTAATAAAACAAGTTTATGGATGAAACACTCCTTGCATAGTTTAGAATGGTTTGGTAAAAAACCTTAAAACCTAATAGCTAACTTATGGTGCAAAAATACCTATTAATCTAATACCTATATAGAAATTGATTGAATAGTGATTACTTGAATATAATTTAAAAATATTATTAGATTTACTCATTTTAGAAAGGTACAATACTATTTAATACCTACTTTTACTGAAAAAAACGTAGACTCTATGGTATCCATAAGGTAGACCAATGATAGTGTTGCAGTTTAATTATTTAAATCTAAATTAAAAATGATATAATGATGTGGACCACTCAAGTGAATGATAGATACGGTACCCCATTTTTTAAATGTGTACCGAAGTTGTCACCATAAAATAACATATAATACAGATAAGAACTCCATGACTTTTATGCTTTTGTGTTTTGTTGTTGCATGCCACAATTATCATATCATTACTGCACATCTTAATCACATGGAACATTTACTCTTCTATCCTTGAGACCACCTAAACACAACTCACAAGATTATTGCACATATATAGACCTTTGACAAATTGTCTGCTTGTCTAATCTTATCATCAATTTTAGAATATTATTCCTGGCTTGTAGTATTCCCCCTATCAGGTTACAAGGAATTTTATCAAATTCTTCAATGAGGTAATTGATGAAAGATCCTTTCTGGAAATAATAATAAAACCTCAAATACGGTGTATTTTTTCTAGAATCATGGCAATAAAAGAGTAAGAAAAGTGAAAACAACTTTTTTGACACAATTTTAAGGTCAAACTAATTTTGGGCAGTCACACTCTAATAAAATCACGATATTTCTTATGACAAGTCGTCTCGCGGAGCCAATGATTAAGAAAGTTTAGCCCATCAACTACGTACTTTGCTAGGATAATAGTGATATTGTCATCGATTATACATAGACAATCCTCATCACTTAGCCGTGTGAGCCAAAAAGAATGGATAATTCTGTGGATAGGACTAAATAAGTTAGGAAATGCACAAATAGGAGTATACTTTTAATAGGATTAAAAATAACATGAGTTGACCAATTTGTCCTTAAAAAAATTAGAAGCTCCCCTGCAGGTCTCTGCACGTATGAAGCTCACCAGACACAGGTCACCACCATGGAGCAACTACTATAGGCTATCTCCTCTACCACCGACCCCCGGCTGACGGAGATCCGACGGCTTTGGGCACAACGTCCAGAATACCGCCGCCTATTGCCGCTGCCGCCAGTCACCGGAGGTCCATTAATGCAAAAAAATTCCAGAAATTATCCTTAGTCTTTCTGCATCGCCTTTCTGCCACCACTGTCGTCACTGACCGCATCATTCGCCGCCGCTACTGTCAGTGGCTCTACCTCTGTTGCCACCACCCATGTCATCACATCGATGACTCTTCCACCACCGCCGACTGCAGAGTAAGTCTTCAAAACCCTACATGAGCAGACCATTAATTTCCCTACAAAATCCTCTCAAGAGGTCATTATGCAGAGCAATTGAAGTTCCATTATTCAATTTGTTGGAAAAATCATTCCCTGTAATATGTATGAGTACTAGCCGGAAGCATATATCAATTTTAGAGTTTAATTTCTTTGATGTTATATTGTCATACACTATTACTAGTACTAATGTTATATTGCCATCCTTATGAGGATTGATATTGCCTCTTTTAATAAGAGCCATGTGAATGTATTTAGTGCCAAAAAGTGGATTTATTTGCCAAAAACATTTCCGAAACATGGCACTACATGACATAGTAACACATACCTTCTTGATAAAATGACATTGGTTACAAATTAAGGTTCAAATCAATGGTAT